TTTTATATCCGCTGCGCAAACCCTAGAATCGATCCTCTTTCCCCTCTCCTTACTCTCTCCTCTGTCTTATTTGTTCCTTCATTTCATTTCAATCTATTAAGTGTCAGTGCATTAACTAAACTGACCTCTTATGTTGTATCCTTTTCCAACGATTCTTGTGTGATTCAGGACCCTACTCGGGCCTCGATGATTGGGAAAGGTAAACAACGTCACAATCTATACTTCCTTGAGCTACAGGGAGCCTCTCGGTCATCCTCTGTCATACCTTCTACTCTCTGTACTGCTCTATCTACTTTGGCGCCGGTTGATCTGTGGCATGCTCGCCTTGGTCATCCGTCATTTCTTCGTGTTCAAGCTCTTGGAAACTCGTCTTTGCTAAAGTTCACCTCAACAAAAGAGTCTTTTCCTCACTGTTCCATATGTCCTCTTGCTAAACAAAGAAAACTTCATTTTTCTTCTTCTCAAAATATGTCTAAGAATCCTTTTGATCTTGTACATATTGATATATGGGGACCTTTTCACATTTGTTCAATTGATGGACACCGTTACTTCTTAACGATTGTCGATGACTTTTCTCGCGTTACATGGGTTTATTTCTTAAAACTCAAAAGTGACGTTACTACCTATTTTCCTCAGTTCATTAAGCATGTTTCGGTTCAATATGGAGCTTCTGTCAAAGCTTTTCGTTCTGATAATGCTGTTGAACTCTCTTTTCCTTCTTTAGTTGCTGAGCATGGGTTGATTCATTATCGATCTTGCCCATATACTCCTCAACAAAACTCAGTTGTTGAGAGAAAACATCAGCACATTCTTAATGTTGCAAGATCTCTCTTGTTTCAATCCAATGTCCCTCTTGTTTATTGGACTGAATGTGTAAAATCTGCTGTTTATTTGATAAACCGGATTCCCACTCCAATTCTGCAAGATAAATCTCCCTTTGAAACCTTAACTCACTCTACGCCCTCTTATTCTCATCTCAAGACGTTTGGTTGTCTTTGTTACGTAACAAACACTGATAGAAATCGTCATAAATTCTCGCCAAGAGCTGTTCCACACGTCTTTCTTGGTTATCCATCAGGAATGAAAGGTTATA